TAGATAATGCCTCAAAAATCACGATGAGCGCATCGGAAAACTCTGAAATGCACTCATAACTTCACAATCTGCGTAAGAAATTTGCGTTTTTTTGAGCTTCCCGCTTCAAAAACGATACTACGGCATAATAAAAAATAAATAAATAAATAAATAAATAAACTGAGTTTGTTGTTTATTTTATTTATTTTTTTATTTGCATATATACAGGTGGACGTGCATTATAATTTGATAAATTTGTGGAAACAACATCTAGCTGAATAAGGCATCAAAACTGTGAGGAACTGTGTCAGATAGTAATCAGAAACACCATGCCCCATGTACATCCACTAATAAAATTTATTGCCAATAATTGTCCTAGTTCATCTTTCCCTGTCAACTTTACAATAAATTTCGTTGTACCATTTTTCTATTGTATTTTGTCTTATCTCACTCTTATCTTCTGTTTTATTAATGATTCAGTTTATTTATTGCGGTGTGAAAAATTTGTCATGTTAATAGTTTTACGAAGGCGAGCTCTCCAACACAGTAGTGTTGGAACCAGCAGCTTGTTTTTATTTCACCTGGATATTAGAATTGCCAACAGCCAATTCCAAATGCCAAATCGATTATTTTAAGCCTTAATCGTAACCCTGGAGTTGTAGACAGATTCTACTCGAGATTCTTACGCTACACTCCTGCTTTCACTAATTTTAATTGGTGCATAATTTAAAAAATAATTTTTAAAATATTCGTCATGCTATACTGGAAATAATTGACTTCGGTTGTTTTATACAGTTCGAAAACAATCTCAGAAAATATTATAAAATGTCGGAGTTATGGATGGAATATTTAAAAGGTGGAAAATAACCATGAAGATAAAATAAAAAACCAAGTTGAAAATTAATTTTTTATTGAGATATTCTTTGTTCTCTTCAAGATTTGTTTTCTTAATCATATAAAATCTACGAAAATAATACAAATCTATGAATTTAATGGAACGTTTGCAAAAGTCTGAATTTAATAAGGTCTTGATTTCAAACTATAGGCGACCAACCGAAACAATAATAGTTTGATATTTTCTTCTGACGACAAACTATCAAGGATCTATGAACAATATAAATTTCTACAATAATTTTTCGTTTGCCAACCTAAACGGATATTGTCGTTTAATTACCCATTGAAAATGTTTTAGACTTCTGCAGAAGTTCCATCACATTATGAGAGCCTACTTAATTAAATCACAGAAATTGAAGGAGCACTGTAGAATTACAGTAATCTCGACAGAACGTCTGACTTAAAAGAACACACACACTTAAAACAAGTCAAAAAACCTGAATAAATCCCATTCTTCCTAAATTTGTCTCACTGCCTGAGAAGATGTGATAAGGTTAGGCAAAAGGACCTTTGAGGTGAAAAGGAAAAAAAAATGAGGTAACGGCATCACGTTTTTGAGAGTTTAATTTTACCGTATTTGGCGCGAAGAACCCCCCAAAAATGAGAGAAACTAGTCCTTTGAAAGTATTTCAAAATTAGCTTTAAATTGCAGAAGCAATAAAAAGGCAGTTGAAATTTTCCGGAGCTGTGGCCAGCTGAAGGAAAGATTGATTTTAAACGCGTATGGCGTCATTAATAATGATAATTATTAACTGAAATGATCAAATGATCTTGGGAGAAGTAGAAAGCGTTTAGCACCTGAGACGGAAAATGTTTCCACTGCAAATCAGTTTTATTACCTGTTCTGAACACTTTTTCCACCTTAAGACCCTTTTCGCTTGACTCCATCACATGCATCATGATTTTTTGTTCTGGCTGCACTTAAAACAAAACAAATATGGGGACCGTTCAAGATTGAATCTTGATGAGACCCTTGTTGATCCCTTTTCCACAGAACAATCGGGGTACAATCAAGACCCAATCACAAACGGTCCCCAAGGCTCATTCTTGCCAGGGCACCACCAATAAAGAGGTCAAACGACAAGAATCAATGCCCAGTTAGAAGACCTATTAAAGCTTGCTTTTCTTTTTCCTTTTTCCTAGCGATATCAAGATTTCTATTCCTCCACGTGCTCTTCCTCAGCTTAATGGGTCGACTGCCGACATACCGACCTGAAACAGAAGACATTAATTCGATGTTTAGAATAAAGTCGGCGAAAATGTTGGGTGTATTTCATTTATAAAAAGACGCGATGCGAGTAACAAATTCCATGTTTTCCTAGATCCTTTTTACAGACATATTTGAAGCATATTGGGCGTCTGATATCGTAAACCTTCGATAAAATTACACTGTTAACACAACACTCGCAAGTTCGATACTTCGATACTGGAGTAAAATTCTGTGAGAACTCAAAG